AGTTTTCTCAACAGTGTTTGCGCATATCGGAACTGTTATACATTTTGTATAGAGCAAACTATTACTCAGGTAATTGCAATATGAAATAGCTTCCGGCGTAGAGTAATTGAACACTTTAATAAACAATCTGAATATGTTTTAATCAATTCCATCAATTCTCATTAATATACTCAATAATTAAAAGGTATACTATAGCTGAAATGTCACAATGGAAATAATTTATTAACCTGGCATTTCATCGGAAATATTTAATAATTACTCTAAAATAAACTTAATAATTTTGTTGCATTTTCTCCTATTAATAATATTCCCTAAATAAATCAATATTGAGGATGTAGTGTCACTTTTGGCTCGAGACATCCAGATGCAAATTCGAATTCCAAGAACTTGTTGCCTGTTTTGTGAATTTTCGGATTATATTTTCCGTCTTTAAAAATCTCTAAATCTTGAGCAAATCTTTCTTCAAAACCTTCAAAACACATGAAATAAATTCCAGCAAGGACGCAAGATGCTTTGGCATTCAAAATCTCCATTAGCAACCCCTTTTTTTTGAGAATCAATCATTTCCGGTGTACTTTAAGCCGATACACAAAACGTTAAATTTAAATTGAGCGGGTAAATTTTGGAGAAATATTCCCGAATTTTAGAACACAGGATATTTTTATGGCACAGCAAGTCCTCACTGAGTCCCAGCTAAGCGCAGTTCCTTCCGCTCTGCGAAATCTCCGCCACAGTGTCCTTTCTAGTTGGGCCGCAAGGATATCGATTCAGCCACGCGTGAGCAACTTTCTGCAGATGGCGCGAGTTGTGCTGGCGAGAAAGCTACCAAAAATCCTCTTGCGAGGATTGTATTAAAAAGCCATTTTTAGCGAATGTGTATATCCTCTCGCCAGGACGAAATTTTTCATGAGACTCTCCCGAAAGGGTGGGGAGGAAAAAGGAGAGTTCATGCAATAATTAAGGTAATAGTATTAACTTTCACTTTGGCATTTCCCGCCCGGAGTTTTCACACACACACACAGACAAAAAAATCCTTCACTAGGCAAATCCTCCAGAATATCCCTCGGTGGTTCCGGTGGAGAAGTCGGGAGTTTTAATCTCACACTGTGTCGCATTTCACCGCTTTGGCTCTGCCGGTTTTTGAGGAGCAAACAACCATCAACACATAAAAAACGTGATATGCAATTACAATATGCAAATTCACTCTGAATTATTCATCCGTAGAATGTCTGCCCGAATATTGCTATATTCACTCACTCTCGCCGCGCTCACATGAGAATTTTTCGTGATGGAGCAAATGAGTGTGTTCTTGAGCATCAAACTAGGAGCGGAGATCCTTGGTTGGGTTTTTGGGGAGGAGGAGGAAAAAAAGGACTCGCCAGTCAAACATCGCGCATGAAAGTCATCCGAGAGTGAGAGAGAAAATGATGGAGAAAATCGAGCTCTCGACGCGGCAAAAGCCAACATATTCTGAAATGCATGAGAGACTGCCCTTGTGAGTGATTTATTGGGTGAATTTGTACAAAATAATTTTATCTATCTCGCCAGTTGACAGTCACTTTCTGCACAAGAGTGAACTTTAGTGTGTCATGCGCGGAGACAACCCCAAAGTTATTAACCACAGAGAGAGATATTTCAATCGATTTTCCACACGTGCTGTTCTCACTCTATCACAATAATGCATCTAAATTGAGGAATTTTCGGGTCGGAGGGAGTGTCCTGGTGGAGGATTCTCTTTTGCTCTGGTGCATCAATTAGTGCGGGGGATTCCCTTCCTCATGCATAATTCACACGACAGTGAATTCTTCTTTGGCTTGCGGAGCAGGAAAACTTTCTGCTGCCGCGCGCCGTTAAAGTTGTCCCCTTAAAGGGACGCCAACATATTTCAATTTGCAGGACACAATCCGCAAAACTGAGAGGGGACACGAACAATTTCATTATGGCACTTCTCACGCAGGAGTCATCTGTTGTCAACTTTCCCTTCCACCCCCCCCCGAAAACTGCGTCCAATGCAGCACAAGAACTAATATTGTGGACACAACACTTCCCTCATTTTATCACGTATCCGCTAACTTGTGGATTCATGCATCCTGTGGAGGATGATCCGCCCGGAGGACACACTCTTATTCATTTAACTTTCAACCCATTATTCACCCCCACCCCGGAACGACTTATTGTGATGTCGAGGAAATGGTCTTCTGAGGAGATGCAAGAAGATTTCCTCTTGCCATCACTCATAGACTTTGTCCGCGATATTTTCCCTCAGCAATAAGGCAAAAGAATTCTCCCCTCGAGCTCTGAGGCTCAGCGTTATAACTTTTTAAATATATTTAGTGGAAACTTTCCGCTGTGTGTGCAAGAAAAAAAAAAGTCCTCTACAAGGCATATTGTCAAATAACTCACAAACTTCTGCACCATGAGATCCTCTATACTTAGAAGATTTCCGCGAAATCACTTTCTGAATTTCTGAGCAGCCCAGCTAGAAAACTATATAGCGCGACTAGAAAACATCAAAAGCCCAAGACTGACTCTTCTGCAGCTCAACATTACTTTGCTATCCAACATTTTTATCATGTTTATCCCGCAGAGTTGAGCAAAAAGTTATTACACATCGACAGGTGAATCGGCGATTTATCCAAGTTTACGTCTTATAAATTGTTGAAAAACTTTTTATTTGATCTTCCTGTACAACAATTTTGAGATTTCTATCTTATGAGACAATAGCAAAAAATCTTATTTATCCAAAAAGCACAAATGGAAACAAATTGTCATGTTTTGCGAATGAAAAGTCGAATATTTATTGTTTACGCTGTACAATTTTTCCAAGAAAAATGTCTCAAAAATTGCAGTCAAACTCATAAAACGTCTTTTAAGAAAATAATTATAGATTTTCAGAATTTTCCTAAAATGTTTTTTAGACTTTAGAATATTTTTCATGTATTTTAAAATTTTTTGAAGTATGAGAAATTGATTTTTCAGAACTTGTTTGGATTAAATCGATTTTTGAAAGTAATATTTTCAGATTTTCCATTAATTTTGCCATATTTTGGTCAAAAATTCCAATAAATACCAATAAAATCAACTAAAATATTTACTAAATAAAAAATACAGAGCAATTTTTGCACTTTAAAGGTCGATTTGAAGGCTTCTTCAAGATTTCAAAGTTAATTTGGCAAATTTCGCCTCTCTATTAACGCTAAATTTTCAACTCGCTCTGCTGAAAAATGACGATTTTGGCTTTTCATAGTTTTTGACTCACTCGTCGACACATATTTTCACTTTCAAGCGGTGAATTTGTGTGTCCACAGTAGCTCTGCTTCACCCTATATTTTGTCACATTCGCAGAAAATACTTGTGGATTTATCTGGAGAATTTGCATGCCATCGAAATAAAGCACATTATATACTCTCGGGTAATCCCAGAGGTAATTCAAAAATAGCACACTCGCAATGTGTGGTATTGCTTTCCGCAAGCGCCGGCAAAGGAATATCCCTTGGACTTGTGTTGCCACAAAAGGTGTCATTTGAATGGAATTCACGTTTTTCACGTGTGTGATAAGATTATGCAAAGTGATACCGATTCCAATAGGCGGATATTTATTTGTACAAAATACCCCAATATGTAATTTTCACATGGGGAAAATCTTGTATCTCTTTCAGAATCTCCTTTCTTGGGAGGATAACTTTTTGCTGAGTCAATCAATCTGGTAAATCTTTGTGCAGATTGTTGAGGGTGCAAAATTAAATTGAAATCTCTCTCTCTCACTCTGTGTTTTCGCCAAAATGGACAAGGATTTTCTCCACCCCTCCCCCGAAAACATTAAATGTATTTTGCAAAACAACGACAATTTGAGTGAAACTTTCAAGCTCACATGCTCTGGCAGAAGCTTTATTAAATATCCACTTGAGAGAAATGCCAGAAGTAATGACAGAGTGGCAAAAAGTCCTCAATGAGACTCATGAATGCGACACACTCTTGCTAATTGTGTTACAAAAGGTGTGGTAATCTTGACGGCGCGCATAGAAGCTTTTCCTCCCTGCATTTTTTGCCACTTGAGCTCACTCTCTCTCATCAGATAAGTGTCACAGTCATTGAATCGGATTTAGCCGCTTCGTGACATGGCGAAAATTTTCCACACCGTATTTATGTGCTTTTAGGAAATTCACGTTCGCAATCCTTTCATGCACAGTGGCAAGGAAAAAGGGAGAAGAAAAGGGATTTCTCTCTCTCACTCTCTTCCTCGAATGATGATGACGAGAATGCACTCGAGTCGCTCTTAAAGAGTTCAACCTCTAAATGCAGAATGCAATCCTGATTGAGAAGTTTACGGCAAGAGATAAATAAGTGTCTTTCACGGATTGAGAGATTTCGAGAGGCAAATTTGATTGACAGAAATTCAATTTTATAACTTAAGCTATGACAGTCAAAATATTCGCGTTTTCCTCACGTTTGACTCAAAATATTAAACAAAGAGTAAATTATTGGTTAATTCAATAAGTAAAAAAAATCCCAATGAGCCAAGAAAGCACGTATTTTAGCTGAAAAAGCTGAGATATTGAAGCTGAAATTTTAGCCATTTTCCTCATGTTTTTCGCTAATATATTTAGCTAAATTTATTGCTCTTTTCTGATCAGAACTTAGCAAGGACACAGAAAGACTAATTTCTATAGACTGTCCTTCTTCCGGAGCCTGTAAATCTCTCAATTTTGAGGTTATTTGCATGGAGTTATTTATACAATTCACTTAAGTGTTGTTATCACGAAGTATATTATTGAAATGGAAAGGTTTTTATATGATGCGACATTAATGCATTAAAGTGCGTATCAGTACTTTGATTGATCACCGCTACGTTTGCTAAATTCTTAGCAAAAGAAAGCGAAGAAATTGGCTTTTCAAATCTCAACTTTGAGATTGAGGAAAAACATTGAATGAAGTGAAGCTGACGAGTGTCTCTCCGCCTTTGCAGATGGACAAATCGGCGTGATACAGCGTGAGCCAGGATGTCCAACAGTCACTCCGGCACGATCGGCCGGAACCGCGGGCTGGCGTTCGGCAGCAGCCAGATGAGGCGCCAGAGGTCCGTGGAGTGGTCGCACGAGCGCGCTGGCTACAGCAGCAGCGACGACGACGAGCGGATGGCCAGGAACTCCATCGGGCCGACGGTGGACAGCAACTTCCTCGCCACCCTGATAGCACAAACTCAGCAATTGCGAAGTGAGTTTTCAGCCCTTAATTAGTACCCCCCGAAAACAGACCCCAATTGACACGCGACATTGAGGAAATTTGCCAAACATGGCGAAATATTGTATTACACGCGTCATATCGACCTCTCAATGGGCCCGTGGTAATTTATAAATTATTCCGTGTACAGGCGAAGACGTGGGTCTATCTCGGAGACACTCGAGAGTTTAACCCAGATTTGCCATATCTCCACGGGCCCGCCCTTTAATGGGGTTGCCGAGGAGGAAGTAAATGTGTCAGATGGCATGATTAATCGCGTATTGGGGTTAGATTTGTGTAGCGAGAACATTTTAAGGCGGGGGGGTTAACTTCTAAAGTGGTTTCAGTCTTTCGGTCTGGCAGTCTAGACTCTTATTTACGTGCGCGATGTGTGTGGAACTGCAGAATAATGCGAAGATGCTCGAGGGGCGAATGGAATTCTGTACATTACCGCGAGCGCCAAATAAACTCCAACAGCAAGAGAGGTTTGATAATGCTTGATGGCCAAAAAAAGCGCCCCCTTCGCAACTTTCGCCCACAGAATCCATAGTGAAAGTCACCCTTTCGCCGCGAGTGAAGATGCCGCGGGATTTGAGGAAATTCCACTCAGCCACGCAGTGCTTAATGTAGCGATTTTTATGCAAAATTAACTATAAAAGTTTAATTAATGAATTATTGAAATTTGCAGCTTAATTATTCTTCAATGACTTCACCCAAGCAATTATTTACCCCGGCAAACACTCTCTGTGTGGCAAAAGTGGAGCCTTTAAGTGATCCATTATGTGATTTTGCAAGCTTCGCCTGCACTTTTCGCAAGGCTAGTCAGAGTTGAAAGACGATTAAAACGTCTTGATAAGGAAGATTAAAGAAAAAGTACTGTTTTCTTAGAATATAATCTGGAATAAAGAGAATACAGAAATTCAAGATATTTCTAAAGTATTAGAGAGAAAGCCTAGAATTATGTAATGTTACGAATTTTATAAGATATGAATTCTAACCCTAAATTGTCTCATACTTGATAAATTTGTAAAATACAAATTTGATCGTTTAGAGATAGCAATTTAATATGGCTGCAGTAAATTGCTCAGTTTAACATCAGTTTGGTTAGTAAAGAATGCAGTTTTGCCAGTAAAAAATCACTTTGATCAGTAAAATATCATGTTTAGTCAGTAAAAATTACTATAAAAATAGTATTTTTACACTTCTCTCAGTAAAAAAATGAGTTTGATCAGTAAGAATATTGATCAAATGTGCAATTTTTACATTGTAAATATGCGACGGTTTACTGATCAAAGTCAATATTTTACTGACCAAACAGTAAAAATACTGACAGACTTTATTATTTGAAAACTGACAAATTGAATTTTTTTTACTGAATAATACTAAATTATTTAATAACCAAATTATTTGTTTTACTGATCAAAAAGATCTATTTCAATGCAGAAAGTATTTGTGCCATTTTATATGTCAACACTTTATGAGACAAAGTGCGACATCTTATCTTATAAGATAAGATATGAAAGTAGAGTTGCATCGAGCCGTGAACGCTATTCCTTCGATGTTGAGCACATTTGGAGCGAATCATTCGCTGAATAGGTTAAAAGTTTGAGCGAATGAAGCAGTGGAGATCCTTTTGATGGGCGAATTGAACCTAGAGCGCTACCTATATGACACTCCGCTTATGTGCTGTCTGTGAAGTATACAGTGCCATTTACTTTATTGTTGCAACTCTCTTTAATGTCTTGTGCGGAGGGTGGCGCGATGGCATGCAGACGAACACTTAATTGTGATGGCCGAGGGTGTGGGCGCCAAGTGTGATGTGGGATTGTGCGGAGGAGCAATTAAACTTTCCTGTTACTGGTCGCTGGGGCGGTTGGTCGGCGGCCTGGTGGGTTAGCACAGTCTCGCTCTGTGCATAGATCCGCGGGGCGAGTTTCTAAATTGAAATTTATTGTTATGTGATTTTAAGCCTTGTGGATATTGCAGTCTGTGTGTATAGTGTTACTTCATTTTATGGTTCTTTGTGGTACTGTTTGCTTTTATGGCACCGCCCGACCACAATGGCAGCCTCCTTTTGCCACACTTCTCGCCATCGACACCGACTCATATAAAATAGATAAAACGCTAAATGATTTTTAATTAAATTTTAGTCAAGTCTCACCCCGCCAAAATGGATGCACACAAATTAATTCGCCTCGCAAAACATCACAACTCTCTCTCCCACTTTCGCCCCAAAATCGAACTCCTTCACCGACTATATAGTCGAATTTGTTTGCTCATTTTTAATTGGCACCTTCCCATCATTAATTGTAACTCCGGAGTAAAACTCTTCGGCGCTCAATTGCAAACTTCTCCCGTTTCACTCCGTATACATTTTATGTGCCATCATCCATCTATTCGGGCCCTGATTCCGACGAGTCAACCTTATTTCAAATTATACGGATGCTATTATTAATTAATCAAAATACGAATCCCGAGAACAATACTTCGCACACCTACCCTTGCCTCTCACCCCCCCCTCAATCTCCAGTCTCTTGGGACTTTCTTTCCCTCCTGCCGAATATCCTCGTGTATCTGGGTAGATAATTAGTGCTCTGGAAAGTCTCGCCTAAAGTTTAAATGATTCTTGAGATCCCTTCAACTGATTTGTCTGTCTGTTCTTCGTTTTTGGTTTCACAAATGAATATTTCACCTTATAATTTGATACTTTTGCGAAAGTCAAGGGGAAGATAATGTTTCTAAACCCTTCAAAAATTTGCAACAACCTCAAAATTATCACTAAGAGATCTGAAAGACTCTATTTTGAAAGCTTTCAGATCAGAAAATCATCCAAAAGAACAATTTTCAGAGTACAAATCAATATTTTTGAGGTTATGTTCAATATTTGCACGATTTTCAACGTTTCTTGGCATCAAAACTTCAGAAAAGCGAACTTTATTGCACAAAAATGCTTAATTATGAATATTTGCACGATTTTCAGTGTTTCTTGGCATCAAAACTTCAGAAAAGCGAACTTTATTGCACAAAAATGCTTAATTATGCCAAAAACGGTCGATTTTTCGGATTTGAGTACAAGAATTGTTGTGCTAAAATGCGATTTATTCGCTAAATCCGTCCTTGATTTGTTACATAACCTAGAAAAAGAGTATTGTGATGATTTTTGTAAATAATCGCGATGATTTGGTGGTAAAAAAAAGCACTCAGGATAGGAATATTGTAATTTTTCAAACAAGTTGATCTGTACATCACTTCTGACTGTATTATCTCCCCCCTTGACGAGAGCTATAAAATGTCTTCCTTTTGAGGATACAGAGGAATAAATTAGCAGGACTTTAACCTTCTCTGTAGACACTGACAATTCGTAAACAAACAATTGATTTAGTTAAATGGTCACACTTGAAGGCCAACGTCCAGATTCGAGACTTTTCCCCCAAACCTGGGAAAACATGAGGCCAAAACCGAAATTTTCGGCTCAGGACGAAAGTCAGAATATATGCGAATATTCATTACTTATTATTCATCACTCGGTAAATGTCCTGAATATTTTAAAGATGATAATAAATTGGGTTGAGTGTCTTTTTGATGTTTTCCACATCATTAAAGAGCCACATTGTGTCGTCTGGAAAATCAATAAAAACACTGAATTAATTCGCAATGGAGAATATTTCTCGGAAAATACAAACACAGAGAGAGAGAAGGAGTAAAAATTGTTGGAATTTAGTGGTCAAATTTATAATATTTTATATCTATATATTGCAGATATGCATTTGCATTTATCATGCAAATTTTGCGCTAAAAGATAAAATAAAAATATCGGGGCGAATTAATGAGATGGTGAGGATAGTTATATACAATGCTGGCTCATACTTTGTATCTTGTTCTGCCGCATTTGCTGGGCAACATTTCCTACGCAATTCGCTCTCCGGGAATAATTTATCATTTCCGTATTTTCACTGACAATTGACAAATGATACGGGGAATATTCATAACTTTCTGGTAAACCAGGCGAAAAATGGGAAATAAAATGTAAAATGAATGGCAGGGAAAGTTTTGCCTCACTGCTTCGGGGGGCCAGCACTGATGGTGGGGATGTTAGTTTGCCATTCCACGAGGGCGAAGAAGGAATCTCGGGGAATCCACCCCCAAAACGGCCTCACATAAGGCTCACTCATTCTCTCCCTCTTGCATGGGCACAAATCACGGGAATAGAAATCCAATGAGGGGAGATTCTTACTCGAGAGAGAGACTTTCTTGGCAAACACCGAATTGAGATGTTGCGAATGCCATGGTCGAATTGTTGTTGGAGTGCCGGAGGGAAAGTTTTGTCTGAAAAATTGTTAAGCATTTAGAAACATAATCTGCATAAGCCCATTGAAATTCCACTCTCTCTCTCTCTCTCTCTCATTTTCCCTGCGATTTTTCCATCTGCGGGGGCGTAGAAATGCGGGGTGGTTTGAGAGAATTCCTCTTCCGGCGAGTGAAAGAGAAAGAGAGCGAATTTTGACAAAAGTCTCTGGCTTTTTGAATACAACAAACACACAGACACACACATATTTGGGATGGCAGAGGTTGGTGGAATTATTTTCCGCATAAATGACATGTCGCATGCTTCAAATTGTAGTCTTTAGTGGAGATTTTATGCATCCCAGAAATTTCCGCTGTGATCATCCGATGGGCAATTGGAGCTTTATTCAAAAGCTCCCCATTCGCACTCGATTAGCCATGGCAATGTACGCAAACTTCTCGGGCAAGGGAGCAATACAGCACCCCATTTTCTTCAGCCACCCTTTCTTGACGCAAATTTATGGGCAAAATAGTAATCATGCAAAACACCCTGTTTAATGTGTGATAATCGTTTAATCTTCAGCAATATTTGCAGTATATGTAAAGGGCGATTAACTTTAGAATATGGTGATTGTTGGGATTTGCATGGAGCTTGTTTATGTTGCCCTCAAAATTGATCATGCGTACGTTTTAGAGTTGAATTCCTTCCCATTTTTCTTCACATTTTCACAGTCTAATTGAGAGAGTTTTTGCTAAAAAGAATCATTTCGCAAATACCTGGAACAAATTTGCCTCAACCATCAGTCAATAAGAGGAAGTCTTGTATTTGCCCATCATTTGAAGCACATTTTGTGATTATTTGTGTTCAATTATCGTGGCGGCAACCGTCTCTTCACTCCAGTCCAGAATGCATATCGTCAATTGCACCACGGAATGCCGAGACTGTCTTGTGTGCTGTGGAATTTGCGGCATTAAGGCCGCGACCTCGTCATCCCCAGCCAAGGAGGGCGAGTCCGGACTGCGCAGAACGCTTCAGCAACCCGCACAGCTTCCAGCGCCGACAAGACTAACCCCTATGAAATTACCTGATTAAACTTTCATATTCAATCTTGACTTGTATACCCGAGAGACCCTCTGAAAATATCTCTCATCCTTAATTGTATTTCAAGAATTTCCATGAAGCGCGAGCGCCAGCGAAGAAGCACGAGAGCAATTTTGTGCAAAAGTGGAGTATTTGCGAAAGAAGGCATTGAAGCCATGCGATGAGAAGTTATGAAAAAGCGAAATGGAAGTTTTCTTCCTCTCAAACTGCTTTCGAACTATGTATTTTCAAAGCTCTTAACTCTTTGATTCCTTTCTCACCGACTTCAGAAGCCCAACAAAGCGCAAAAGCTCAGTCGAATCAATCGGAAAACAAAAACAAAAGGCTTTGTCATGCCCAAGGGGGAGATAATATGCCAGAAATCTTCCAAATTTGCCTGACACTTCTAGAACTCAAAGTTTCTAGACTGTTTCCACATTAATTCTCAAATTATAATGATTATCATAAGTTTCTGTCCGATATTTCTGGAAAAAATCGACTTAAAACCTCTTTTTGAGTACCTTTTCCGACCATAACCTCAAAATATCACTAAAAGATCGTCAAAAATTCCATTTGGAACCTTTCTAGATCACAATATTCTCTGTTATAATTTGAAAAATAAACTTAGAATTGGTGAATCAGAGTCAAAATTGTCTATAAAGTTTTCTAAATGACAATTTTTGAGGTTATGTACGATCTTAGCACAATTAGAGGTATTTCTTGGTATGAAAGGAGTCCAATTCAAGGAAAAGATTATGTTGGATTAAGTTTCTATCCGATATTTATGTACGAATTCACTTTAAACTAGTTTTTTGAGAATCTTTTCCGAACATAACCTCAAAATATCACGAAGAAATCTTCAAAAACTCTGTTTAGAAGCTTTCTAGATGACAAAATGACCTGATTATGATTTATCAATGAACTCAAAACGGTCCAGAAAGTTTTAAAAATGAACATTTTTCTATTTTTGAGGTTATGTTTAATTTGCAGTGTTTTTTGGCATCAAATGTCCTAAAAAATGCTTAATTCTGCCAATGATTAGCAATCTTTTCGACTTTAGCATAACAATTGATGTGCTAAAATTCAAATTATTCACTAAATCTGTCTGTTATTCACCACATAACCTAAAAAAGACATTTTTATGCTTGATTCTGCGTAGGAATTTCAAAGAGAATACAAAGAATTTGGAAAACATTCTTTGTATTTTCTTTGAAATTCCTTCCACTTCTTAAGTACTTCTGCTTAGCTGTACACCACTTCTGACTGTATTATCTCCCCCTTGGGAACATCCCCTTTGGATGATGTGACGAAATTGTCTGTTGATCAAATGTTTTGCTTTGTGGATTGTGTTGAAAAGTTGTGCAAATGGAAATGAATTCATATATGATGGAGTCGGTGAAGCCTGCAGTTTTCATCAAATATCTGTAATTGAATCTTTTTGAAGCGCACTATTGGATTGATGTTTGCTGTGTGGCCGAGGCATGAGCAGAAATTGCTCTAGTCGAGCAGTACAATTAAATCTCATCACTGTGCGAATATTAAATTTAATTGAAACGTTTATAGTGTGGCATAAACTATATGAACATTTGAGTGTTTCATTGTTTTATCAAATTAAGTGTTGGCTATTTCGGCTATTTCACAAATTTATGCGTTTGTTTATTTAATTATATGCACATTGTGCGCTTATTAATTACCAATTCGCCTCTCATTCGCTTAAGCATTTCGCCCCCAAAAAGCCGCACAACTGACCGAAGCCATCAAATTACTTCGAATGCTATCATAGGAACATCTCTCCTCTCCGGCTCTCAACGTCTTGCGCTCAACTTTTCCAATTACATCAGCATGTGAAGGAGGAAGACAGTGTCTGTTGCCACCCTCCGGAAAGCTCGGAATTCCTGTTTTCCACTCGCACTCGGCTGGGGTGGAATTCTTTATATAGAATTACGTATATTTTATGCCACGGCGTGACAGTGAGTTAAATGTTGGCGAATTAAAAACGTGTGGGAGACAAGAATTGGACACATTTTCTCTCCTCTCCATTTCTCTCCATTTTAATAAATGTTCGGAAAACACAAAAAGGCGCCCAATTCCATCCGAAATGAATTCTAAATGTGTTAATTTGGTAATCGTCGCACGTTTATGCCGCGCTATAATCTATAGAAACAGCCACATTGCGTCTTCACGGCGTGGAGAAATACATTTTTGCATTATTTCCAGGAATTTAGGAGTATAAATAAGAACAAATTTGGCGCAGAAAAGGGAGATTTTACACAATTCCCGACGACACAGCAAGATCTCGCAATTGTCGTTGTGTTTTTTTGGCGAATTGCGAGGAAAGGAAGAAAGTTGTGATTGAATTAAAAAAAAAGTCCAGAGAAAGGTCATCACTGGCAGAGCGACATAAATTCTGATAAACAAGGTGATTTCGCCCGTTGAGCGAACATTTTGTGCTTCTGAACAGATTAAGCGACTTCTTCGTTTCCATTTCCCCAGTTTAGAGACAAAATATTAGTTTGCACGATCTTAAACCATTGACTTTATACACCCAAGAATAATAATTATATTCTTATTTCACAAGAAGGCATTATTCTCCGCAACATTTGCCCAGACTTGTGCAAAATGGAATAAAAATTCAGACTGAGTTCAGTGAATTCGGCAAACGAGAGGTTAAGATTCTTATAAAAATGCTCCAACATTCGCATAAAGATGCTCGAGTAGAAGTTGTTGAATGCAAAAAATAATAAAAGTTCATGTCTTTGCAGAACTTTTGCCTGAATCTGGACGACCTTATGACTGTGATACAGACGATGTAATTAATTCTCCCAACACTGCCAATCGTCAATCTCCCCTGCAACTGCGCCAAGCGTCCCCCTTTCCCCACGAGGCGACAAATTCGCGCCGAAAACACTACGCCACGCCACACGAGCGCCTCAGGAGCAACGGTGAGTCCTTTTCTGGCCGAGGGGAGGATGTTCGGAGGAAATTTTGAAGTCAATCGTGTTGAAGTCAAAAATATTTAAATATTTTATTATTCTTTGAATTATTTGATTTAAATGCATTTCATTTTAACTATAAAGGCATGTAAATGTTCCGATTCTATTTCTGTATAAGGCAAATTTCGCCCTGTGGTCAATGATCTGGCCTTTTGATCCTATTTTTAGGATTGCGAATCTAGTTTGTAGAAAACTTTGAGACTTTTTTTTCTATTTAAATTAAAAATTTATTTAAATATTCAGAAAATATTTAATTTTTGATTGTTTTGGAATTTTACTTGGAATTAATTATTTTTTAGTCAAATTTATTCAAATTTTGACCCTCTGAATATTTTCAAAGTAAAAATAAATCTTTAAATAATTGATTGAGGCCTTAAGGATTCCTCAAAAATCAATTGGTTGTTTTTTTCCTTGTATAAGAGCTTTTTTTGAACTTTATTGGATTATTTGTTTTATAAAAATTATTCTGAATAGAATGATTCCGTGAGAATTTAGTAGCGAAATAGTATTTCAAGGACTAATTTGTATTAAATTGTTGTGACGTGAATGGCAAATTGAGAGAAGCTTTCATCATTGTTTTTGGGGGTGAAATTGCGCAATTGCTGATGGGATTTCGTCATTTCCAGGGGAGCTGCTCTTCTCCAACTCCTCCAAGGCGATCCTGCTGCCGGGAGGCGCCATCAGGAGCAGCCGTGGGATGACGTCGTCCAGCAGCGCCACGTCCTCCGTGAGCAACCACAATGAGCGATCAGCGCAACAGGAGCGAGACATCCCGGAAAGTGTAATGAAATCGACCAATTCCAAGCAGCACATCACCGAGGATCTGGGTAAATTTATTTCCTCCCTTCGCCATATCCTCCAATTCACGCCCATTAGCACGCAGCATTGGGCTTAATGGATGTGTCATGGAACTAGTAATTGGAGGAAAAGTCAATTAAAAAGCCCTCCACTCTGTCACGCATTAGTTTTGCGCTATAGAGCCGTTTTTTTTTCGCCGCTGCGAGAAAAGGGTGAGAAAAAGGGGTTTGGAATTGAAGAATGCGCGATTTTGACTTCACTCATTGCCGTGAGATTTTCTCTAAATTTGACAGTAATTGCCAAATATTGGTCGCGCCAAACTTGTGGTCGAAATTATTACAGCAATGTGGAGTCACTGTTGCTGCATTTCTAGTGCCAAGGGGGAGATATAACGGTCAGAAGTGGTGTACAGTTCAGTCGAAGTACTTGGAATTTCAAGAAAAAGAATTGTTCAAAAAGAAATCACCCATTTCTGCATTAAAAAAAGAAAATTACAAGCTTTCAATGTTAAACTGTGTTATTTACGCTAAAATTCAACATAACCTCAAAAATATTGCTTCAGAATACAAAAATGGCTGTTTTAAATCCAGTTTGATTGATTTATCTAGTCTAAAATGGCAAATTTCAGCTTATTGTCGATTAGTTTTGCCTTTAAAAGGATTCTTTTCGATATCTCAAGATAATTTCTAGGTTATGTTCCAAAAAGCATCTAAAAAAGCGATTAAAAATTGAATCACATCCAAATATCCACTGGAAACTTAAATAATTTCTTAAACACAGTTTGTTCTGTAAGTTTGCAGAGTCAAGCAAGCAAAAAATGGCGTCTTTTTAGGTTAAAGACTCCTAAATTTGAGGTTATGATGCTTTAAGCGGTTGGAAAAAATCTATTTCATACATTTTAACGGTAGATTTTAAGTACTGGAAGTGTCTGTGATTCTCCCACGGAATTTGTGGACGTGTTGAGCTGCATTATCTCCCCCTTGGTTAGTGCGAATCACTCAATAAAATATCATGACGTCAGCAGTCACCGCGGGCATTTTTCACTGCGACACGGTGGCATTTCCGCGTTTCCGCGCGCTGGAATTTGCCTATTCCGGCGAAGAGGCCGCCTTCCTGGAGGATGTGATTGATAGAATTGGATACATTTTGGGGGATGAATGAATATTGTATGCGGAGCAGAAAATTCAAACATGCACCCACAATCATCTAATATTTAGAAGTCGCTCGCAGCCGAAATGGCACGTGAGTGGGAGCGAGAGAGTCGATTTTGTGAATAATAAATCATCAAATAGCTTCGGAAATGCACACACACACACACACGCCGGTGTCGCCGGAGTTATGTAACGTTCAAACATCGAAATTGTGACTGCCGAGGGAGCATGGAATAATGAAATGAGTTGGACGAGAGAGAGAGAGAGAAAAATCTCAATTTACCCTCAGCGTCAACAAGCAATTTTAAATCCGTCCTATCAGACCCAATTCCCAATCCTATTCATCAATAATTATTTCCCTCGCAGGATCGTCCGCCAAAGTCCCGATCGAATTTCGCGACTGCATCAAATTATTCCCGGCGCAATATTTTCTGTGACAAATCTCATTGGGGGAGGGAATTGAAAATGCATTCAATTTCCCCATGTTTCGGGAGATGCACCGAAGCGTGGCATTATTATCCACTAATTGCAAACTAGTTCGAGCTGCCTTCATTACTTCAACTAATTTGCAGAATATCAGTTGCAGCGCCTCTCAAAATAACCCTCGTCGATGCTCTTCGATAGAGACATGCAAGTTCTCATTTGAATTTTGATTGGAAATTCCGTGTTGGTGTTGTTTTGAAAACCCCAGAACAGTGGCAAACAAAAACAAACCAAATCGAATTTCCCTTTTTTTTCCATGTTTTAGGGTTTGTCCATTAAGAAACGCGCGCGTGTTGAATTGAGGTGAGAAATGAGACGAACGCGTCGTTGCAACTTTACTGATGATTTTGTATTTCAGTCCGTATAAAATACTAATCTGGTGTTGCAGCGTTACGCTTTTCATAGCTTATATTAGCGATTGAGAAAGCGTTGCAATTTCAAACTGGCAAAATTTCCCTTTTGAGGGTGTTTTTAGGGCAGAATATTCCAACTTCCTGGCCATTTTTCTCCACGTGGAAACAAGGAAATATTCTTCAGTGGAAGTGAAGCGCATTTTCAGGAGTTTTCGGCGATCGAGGGATGTTTTCAACGCGAAGAATGAGTTAAACAGAGCAAAATAGTGAATTTCAGCGTCAGTCCTTGACATTGGGCGTGTTTCCGATGGGATTCTTGAAGGATTCTGCTGATCAAAATGCCCAGGAAGATATCTTTGTATTGACATTTCAGCACAGCTGCACTTTTGAAATTAATTATTTTCCTTGGGACGAGTCGAAGGACGTCCGGAAACACATAACCTCAATTTGGTGCCTTGAAATGTGCACAAATGATCAGAAAAATCCAATAAATACGTGATTAATTACATAAAAACATCATTATTGTCTATTTTCTTGATTTTCACGTGAATTTTCCGGCTCTTCTTGTCGTTAACTTGTGAAATATTTCAACTCTTGCACTTTCGTAACTGTTATGAATTATAATCTTGCAACGACTCTCTGCAAATTTATATTTTTGACAGCTTATTAAGAATGATATGAACTGAAAGTTGGAACGAGAGCTGAAATCCTTGAATAAAGCCTTGTTTTCCCAAAACATCACCGTCAGTGTTGGAAACATTAGGGCGAAAAGTCGCTTCCTTGTGTGGTTCGGCACAACAATATTGGGTTGTCGAGATCGAATTTCGATAGAGTGCAGCTTCACCCACGCAGGGTGTAAATTAGTGAAGAAAATAATTGTGGGGTATTTATTAAGCCTCGCCTTCGATGGAAATTCAATCTATTTGCTCTCTCTCGCCGGGTGAGAAGGTGGGAAATTGCTTCGGTGGGTGCAATTAGTGGGAATACGATTATTTTCCCAACCTCAGTCGAGGCTCAACGCACACACGAAACTTACATTTGACCACAAGGACGTGTAAACAGAGCGTAGAATTCGAGAAGCTCCTTCTCTCTCTCCTTCATTAGCAAAAAAAAAAGTCACCCCCGCTCAGTAAACAGCTCCTCATATTTGAATTAATTATTTTTCTCCTCTAGCGCTGGTATTTTTAGCCCAAGTGCGCCTCTGCGATGAGAAATCTCCATAAATAATATTTTAAATTTAATTAATTTGCAACCCTTCCCGCATAATCTATTGCGATGACGCCGCGGACGGAAGGGTTGCTCGGCTATCCCGCTCTGTCGATGTGATGATGAGAAATTTCACCACGAATTTAAATTTATATTATTGCATATTTATTAAGGAGAGTCGCTGCGGAGGGTTGTAAAAAATTGCCCTCTTGCAAGGCACTTCCGCGCGCGGAACTTTAATGGATGCCATTCGGCTTTGGCCGCGCCAAGGGGTGGATATTCTGGTGTAAAAGCATTTTTACTGCTTTTCTAGGTTATGTGATTGACTAAATAAGCCTCAAGATTATCAAATTTATATTTAACGTAGGAATATTTCTTATTTTCTTGGCAAATTTGAGCATTTCTGCTTAAGAGACAATAGATTGGTTGAACTAAAGTAGTAAAAACGAGCTTAAAGTTGATCATAACCTCAAAAATTTCATTTTATGCTCAAAAGTGCAAAATTTAACCTAATTATCACGTAGAAACATTGATAAATTCGCTGTATTTACTCATTTTGTGGGCTTCAAAGGGGTCAAATTGGTCCAAAAAGAATTTTTAAGACGGATTCATAACCTCACATTTGATAAGAAATTTTCTAATAATTTTTCGAAGACAAAACTACCAAAATACAGACAGAATAACCCAGATTGTGAGTGAGAAAAAGCCTTTAAAAGCACTCGGAAGTGTCACGAAGTCATGTAAAATAGTTTTAGGCACATTATCTCCCCCTTGGACAGCGCAGAAAGAGGCAAGTGACTTACACTTTGCGGTCACGCCACTGGAAATTCCATCCCAAACTATTTTCGACAGTTGTGGTCGAGTTGGTCACTGTTGAGACGCCAAAAATACACTCTTGTTTTAGAAAATATTCATAGTTATTTCGGGGGTTGCGTGATGAGTTACATGAATTGTTCACCCTTTTGCGTCGAACTTCTTTTGTACATGGAAAAGCACCGCAAAGGTTCATTTGTTTTTGCTGGGCTCGAAGGGAATCTCTTTGAGATCTTTCTGCGAGTGCTAATAAAAGGGTTTTTCGTGGTGGAATAAATCAAATATAAGTTGAAGAGTCTATTTAAGGGTGAGTTCAATTTTAGCCCACAATTCACGTGTCACTGAAACGATGAATTGTTTCAAGGCAAAACCAAATTTGGAGAAGGCATTTTAGCATGAAAAACTACCACTTTGGAGGGAATCTGGTGAAAAATTCGACTCAGTCCTTCAGACATTGGTAAATTATGCACGCTAAGATGGCGTGAAATCTTCTGCAATATCTTCAATACATTGAGCTCTTGGGAGGCGGGAAAGGCGGGAAAGAGTGCGCGGGGAAACAGAGTGGAGTTTAATATATTCCAGACACATCGTTGCTATAATGTTGTGCTTTTAATTTTAAATTTTAAACAAGATCAAGCACGAAGAGTGAAGTTTAATGCACTTTAAGGACTTGCTGTTGAGTAAACACGCAGAGCTGGAGTTTTTTTCTTATTCTCTCTTTTTTTTCCACCCCCGCAGACGCTCGCAATGACGAGCCCCCACCTGAGCCGGCGCCCCCAGAAGTGCCCCCCAGAGGCCACTCGCTCCTCCAATCGATGTCCTCAATGCGTAAGCGCTCCGATTACCAAATTCACATACAGGAAAATAACTGCGACCAGAAACACGAAGAATTTATCCCTCAGGAGAAGCAGCAAGGTGAGTTTGGCTTGTCTTTCATCCCCTTCGCAGTCGGGAGAAATATGTAAAATAGGTTTATGTAGGAGAGCTACATAATAGAAATGGTGTTATTCAATGAATCGTGGTCTGCATACAAATTACTCCCACGTATAATCTCATTGTCAACATTTAGAATGATAATCTAGACTAATTTAATGATGCTTTTTTTCTCTTGCTACAAACCTTGAATACATATTGGAAAATGCGCGCGCGAATATTTGATCATGTTTCGTGTTGATTATAAAAATACTATTGGTGGAATTTAATTGCTTTTTCCCAATTTAACCAATCTAAACAATGTGCAATGTATTATTTTATTTGACTGTGTGTGTGTTAAATTTTTTCCTTCATCCACAAATTTACATGGCGTCAAATTATTTTTCAATCATTTGCAAAATTGTCGTGTGTTTTTCCTTCAGCATCAATTGAAACAACCACTAATTAGAGGGAGAGAGAGAGAGAGAGTTCTTGTTTGTTTGCCGCGAAATTTTCACATAATTATCCCAGCGTATATAAATATACATAAAGTATTTTTGGATATATAAATAAAACTCCATTAAATGTGTGGCAAACGGAAATCGCGCGCTGGAACTCTTTGCGCAACATTTACTCTTGTGTTTGCCATTCGGAATTGCCATCTGAACAATTTATCTCATATCCTGTCTCACATATTTCCTCCTCCTGACGTCTCCGAATATTTACATTCAAAATTAGACTTTTGCTCCGGAGAATCAATTCCCATTTCATTCAAATTCCACGCTCTCTCTCAATTGCAGCAAAGGAAAATAACTTGTTGCTCTTGTGTTGTTTTCTTTTCCACTTTAGAAAACCCGCAGACGAATTGTTTTCTCAATCGCAATATTGATTTCTTTTTCACCTCTTCCAGTACTTTTTATTCACATGGTTTCAAAGGGGTTGATAATATTGGGGATGCAGTGTCAATTGACTCAAGATGCGCAGAAAAGATGAAAAACAGATATTTATTCTTGTTGATTCTTCTCAATTTAATCATTAAATTATTGTGCACAACTTAGAAAGAGTGGAAAACGAATTTCTTGTGTAAAAAGCTTGAAAACACCCTAATAAATAGACAATATTTACACAGGGTTTTACATTGAAAACGCTCATGATACATGGAAAAGCTTAATTTTTGCAAAAGCGAGAATCTATAAATATCCTAAAACCGAAAAGAGTCCTTTAATCGTTCAGTATTAATATGTTTTTCTTAAAGTTTGCCACAATTTCCTTTTTATACCTACAAAATCTTTTAGACTAGATTTAGACTTTTCTAGAATTCCGCACAGAATTCTCGAATTCATCATTTCCAGCCTATTTTCTATGATGTCAGAATCATGAATGAAATTTTCTATATCACTCAAAATCTATATTATCAACCCCTATCATGTGTTTATCGAGAAATCGAGTGGCGGCGGTGAAAAAAAGGTTTCGCCCAAAATTAATAACATTGTTTGGCATCTGCGAAAATATGCTGCGTGCTTAAAGCTCTCATAAAAAGCTCTCTGCAGCCGTACTAAAAATATCGCATTTACACAATCTCCAGCCAATCGGTGAATTTCTGGTGATTGTGTGGAAAATATATATTCGAATTACCCACCAGAGTCAAGACCATGAGTAAAAAATGCAATCTTTTTTCTTCCCCACCCGTAAAATTTATATATCATGTGCAATAGGATAAAGCACAGGACATGCACGAGAGCAATATGTAACTGAATAGTCAATTAGCATTCAGTGGCAAAAATGGCATGATATGAATACAGGACGCAATATGCACTGCCAAATGACGCAGCATTCACTTCATTAAATTCGCATGTGTGTCCCATTTGCTAATGAATCGGAATAAATTCTCGCATCGCGGGGTGAAAACTATGTAGAACTGCGATTGAAAATTGGCGGAAAAAAAAAGTGAGCGGAAAGTCTCTTGGCGAGGAGAATTATCGAATTTCCACAATCTCGTGGGCTTATATTAACCCTTTGTCCGCCTTTTCATGGGCAATCGTGCGGGGGGGGTTTGGGGTGCAATTTATGGGCAACAGCGGAGGTCGAGGGGGTGGGCGAAAAATGTAGCCGCAGAAGGAGTGAAGCTTCCTGGGCGAATGGCACCGCACTAATTTAAAAGGTACGCCTGTAATCTGTTAAAACGTTGGCAAAAGGTTTTCCACATCATTATCACGGCCATTGTCTGCTGAAAGTGTTATGGACCACACTCTAAACTACACACTTTCTGCTGAAGCATCAAATTACGTGATTTTGCCTAACATTAAACCATAACCGTTCCACCTCAAAAACTGATCTCTCCGGCATTTTCCCACCTTCGCCCACAACCCCCAAAAAGCACACAGCTTTTATTGCTTCGCCATTATATTGGAGAAATTTCCTACGCGCGCTGGATGGAAAATCTCCGGAGCAATGCAACCAAGTATGCCACGGGAAAATATATATATATACATATATTTTGTGCTGGTGAAGCTCTCATGAGCAGATCCTGTTTCTCAAAAGGATATAATTTGCATATGAAGTCTCTGGTAGACAACTTTATGCTGTATCATGATGTCTGGATTACATATTTGTCTAGCTGACATGTTCTGTAATTTTCCGAAACTTTTGAATTTTTATGCATCCTCCTCACCATTTCCAACTCATCTTCGGGTTATTGACAAAGTCAAACTTCTCCCAGTCCATACATATGCAAAATAGTTGGAAGTTAGACTGCCAACTGGGAATTCTTGCACGGAGTGTATTGGCTTTCTCTCTCTCTTGCTGAGAGAAATCATCAAACTATTTGAGTTATAATTATTTTTTTGCTCATTTCCACTGCTTATTGAATATATTTTCTCACTCAGAAGCACAGCAGTTAATTCAACTAATCCTCAAATACATTAAAACACGATGATTAAAGCTCTGTTTTGTTGGGAGAAGTTCGCCAAGGGGCAAGTTAGAAGGCGATTTTTAAAGAATCTCGATGATCTCAATCAAATATTTAAATATAATTTGTTTTACTTTGTATTGAAAAAAATTATACAATCAAATTTTGAATAAAAACAATCAAAAAAGTGATTATTTTCCAAGTAAAATTGGAAAATAATCAAAAGTTAAATATTGTGTGGTAAAATATTAAATAAATCAAATCATATTTAAATGTAATTTGTTGTCTTTGGATTGACAAAATATAAAACAATCAAAATTTAAATATTGTCAAGCAAAATATTAAATAAATCAAAAAATATTTAAATAAAATTTCAAATATATTCTGAATATTATATAATAGACATTTTCTCTCCATTTTTTCCTGAAATTCAATCGAGTTTGAAAGGCATGAAGAAGTTCCGATTTTATTTCCCAGAAGCAAAGTTGTCCAAATAAATAATAAATTAGCTTAAATAAATAATATAAATCAAAATAAACATAAAAATCACGGAATTATTGAATAATCACAAAGTTATTGGTCACAAATCGCCAGTGATTTTCCCCTGGGAATTTACAGTAAAAATTTTAATTATATATTTTCTTCTAATTCTCTTCTTAACGGATTGATTGAAATTATTTATTATTATTCACATTGCATAAAGCAATTGACATTTCCTGCTCTCCAAATTGCGTTTAATTGTGCAAAATATTGGATGAAACTAATTTTCACATCATTTTTACGCCACGCACAGAAATTGAACGCTGGGAAAACTTCCTGAGCTCAAAGCTTTCAAAAGAGAAACAGAAGGTTTGTCGGAAAACAAAGTATACGCTCGATTTGAAATGGCAAAAATAATGTGTGGAAAAATGCATTTTCCCAGAACAACAAAAAGGAGGGCTAAGCAATAGGCAAACATGGCAGAAAAAGCGCGGGAAAAAAAACAGTGATGGACGAACAAAGCATAAGCAAACACGATCTGAATGCAGATTAATTCCCCAGTTAGATCTAACTAATCACATCTTCATGAAGCGCAAAGCATTCTGCTGATGCCATACTTTTACATGACTTTTTACACCATCGCGAGTTGGGGATGATATTTGCCAACAGGGGCGGTTTTATGTGCTTTTTGCAGTGCATTGTTTACACGTTGCAGCATTATGCATGTGCAAAATCATGCGTGAGCAGCAAAATACCATCGCCAGGCGTTTGTGTTCTGTGTTAACCAATTAATGGAGTCTCGCATTTTGTGCTGTAAAAATCGCTGAATTTCCACCACAAACACGGGGGGGGAAATTTGAGATGGAAAAAGGATGTGCCTTTCTGTGATACAAAAGGATGAGAAAATATAGCGCACGACGTGGATTTTGAATGAAAATCGATTGCCCCAGTTGTTATGTTGAATGACGCGTCGTTGAGCGGCGCATTTCAGGACTTGTTCTTCCTCACAACAGGATTGTATTCGGGAAGTCCGAGGGTAATTGTCTCAAATCGCTCCAGAGATTTCCAAGCGGAGCACTTCCAGTTGCATGATTCCACACAATTTCGATCGAATGGCCAGATAATTGTGCTCAAGACGTTGAGATTCATTCACTCTGATTACGTTTTTTTATGACTTTGATGGTCTCTGTTGCGTTGGAAAATACTGCGTAAACAACATTTCTTGGCGGTTCGAGAAGGGAAAATGGCGATGCTTATGAAATGAGAAAGAAGAATGCAAATCCGGAAACTTAAAGTTCCACGAAGGCATTCTGAGGGAATAAGAGAAATAGGAGGAAGAAAGGTACAAAGGCGAAGTTTCAAGTGGTTTGGAATTTCATAATTGCTGCATTTGATAAAGTTCGCCAAAGTATTTTAATATTACATAAGAGCAAACGCAAAGTTCACACAAGTGTCGGTAAATATGTGCTAAATATGCAATTTCCCACTGACTATGACAATAAATATTGCAATTATCCTCAATGACGATGAGGATATCTTTGCCGTAAATTTAGCAATTTAGAATAACATCTAAATCCATAGCTGATTATTGCATTCGCTGAATTTTCACACTAATTGTATATTATTGCACTCAATGCATTGACGAACTATAGCGGAAATTTGTGAGGAA